GGTGTTTTGCGGTTGTTAGGGTGTTGCGGGTGGTTGCCAGGGTGTTTTGCGGTTGTTAGGGTGTTGCGGGTGGTTGCCAGGGTGTTTTGCGGTTGTTAGGGTGTTGCGGGTGGTTGCCAGGGTGTTTTGCGGTTGTTAGGGTGTTGCGGGTGGTTGCCAGGGTGTTTTGCGGTTGTTAGGGTGTTGCGGGTGGTTGCCAGGGTGTTTTGCGGTTGTTAGGGTGTTGCGGGTGGTTGCCAGGGTGTTTTGCGGTTGTTAGGGTGTTGCGGGTGGTTGCCAGGGTGTTTTGCGGTTGTTAGGGTGTTGCGGGTGGTTGCCAGGGTGTTTTGCGGTTGTTAGGGTGTTGCGGGTGGTTGCCAGGGTGTTTTGCGGTTGTTAGGGTGTTGCGGGTGGTTGCCAGGGTGTTTTGCGGTTGTTAGGGTGTTGCGGGTGGTTGCCAGGGTGTTTTGCGGTTGTTAGGGTGTTGCGGGTGGTTGCCAGGGTGTTTTGCGGTTGTTAGGGTGTTGCGGGTGGTTGCCAGGGTGTTTTGCGGTTGTTAGGGTGTTGCGGGTGGTTGCCAGGGTGTTTTGCGGTTGTTAGGGTGTTGCGGGTGGTTGCCAGGGTGTTTTGCGGTTGTTAGGGTGTTGCGGGTGGTTGCCAGGGTGTTTTGCGGTTGTTAGGGTGTTGCGGGTGGTTGCCAGGGTGTTTTGCGGTTGTTAGGGTGTTGCGGGTGGTTGCCAGGGTGTTTTGCGGTTGTTAGGGTGTTGCGGGTGGTTGCCAGGGTGTTTTGCGGTTGTTAGGGTGTTGCGGGTGGTTGCCAGGGTGTTTTGCGGTTGTTAGGGTGTTGCGGGTGGTTGCCAGGGTGTTTTGCGGTTGTTAGGGTGTTGCGGGTGGTTGCCAGGGTGTTTTGCGGTTGTTAGGGTGTTGCGGGTGGTTGCCAGGGTGTTTTGCGGTTGTTAGGGTGTTGCGGGTGGTTGCCAGGGTGTTTTGCGGTTGTTAGGGTGTTGCGGGTGGTTGCCAGGGTGTTTTGCGGTTGTTAGGGTGTTGCGGGTGGTTGCCAGGGTGTTTTGCGGTTGTTAGGGTGTTGCGGGTGGTTGCCAGGGTGTTTTGCGGTTGTTAGGGTGTTGCGGGTGGTTGCCAGGGTGTTTTGCGGTTGTTAGGGTGTTGCGGGTGGTTGCCAGGGTGTTTTGCGGTTGTTAGGGTGTTGCGGGTGGTTGCCAGGGTGTTTTGCGGTTGTTAGGGTGTTGCGGGTGGTTGCCAGGGTGTTTTGCGGTTGTTAGGGTGTTGCGGGTGGTTGCCAGGGTGTTTTGCGGTTGTTAGGGTGTTGCGGGTGGTTGCCAGGGTGTTTTGCGGTTGTTAGGGTGTTGCGGGTGGTTGCCAGGGTGTTTTGCGGTTGTTAGGGTGTTGCGGGTGGTTGCCAGGGTGTTTTGCGGTTGTTAGGGTGTTGCGGGTGGTTGCCAGGGTGTTTTGCGGTTGTTAGGGTGTTGCGGGTGGTTGCCAGGGTGTTTTGCGGTTGTTAGGGTGTTGCGGGTGGTTGCCAGGGTGTTTTGCGGTTGTTAGGGTGTTGCGGGTGGTTGCCAGGGTGTTTTGCGGTTGTTAGGGTGTTGCGGGTGGTTGCCAGGGTGTTTTGCGGTTGTTAGGGTGTTGCGGGTGGTTGCCAGGGTGTTTTGCGGTTGTTAGGGTGTTGCGGGTGGTTGCCAGGGTGTTTTGCGGTTGTTAGGGTGTTGCGGGTGGTTGCCAGGGTGTTTTGCGGTTGTTAGGGTGTTGCGGGTGGTTGCCAGGGTGTTTTGCGGTTGTTAGGGTGTTGCGGGTGGTTGCCAGGGTGTTTTGCGGTTGTTAGGGTGTTGCGGGTGGTTGCCAGGGTGTTTTGCGGTTGTTAGGGTGTTGCGGGTGGTTGCCAGGGTGTTTTGCGGTTGTTAGGGTGTTGCGGGTGGTTGCCAGGGTGTTTTGCGGTTGTTAGGGTGTTGCGGGTGGTTGCCAGGGTGTTTTGCGGTTGTTAGGGTGTTGCGGGTGGTTGCCAGGGTGTTTTGCGGTTGTTAGGGTGTTGCGGGTGGTTGCCAGGGTGTTTTGCGGTTGTTAGGGTGTTGCGGGTGGTTGCCAGGGTGTTTTGCGGTTGTTAGGGTGTTGCGGGTGGTTGCCAGGGTGTTTTGCGGTTGTTAGGGTGTTGCGGGTGGTTGCCAGGGTGTTTTGCGGTTGTTAGGGTGTTGCGGGTGGTTGCCAGGGTGTTTTGCGGTTGTTAGGGTGTTGCGGGTGGTTGCCAGGGTGTTTTGCGGTTGTTAGGGTGTTGCGGGTGGTTGCCAGGGTGTTTTGCGGTTGTTAGGGTGTTGCGGGTGGTTGCCAGGGTGTTTTGCGGTTGTTAGGGTGTTGCGGGTGGTTGCCAGGGTGTTTTGCGGTTGTTAGGGTGTTGCGGGTGGTTGCCAGGGTGTTTTGCGGTTGTTAGGGTGTTGCGGGTGGTTGCCAGGGTGTTTTGCGGTTGTTAGGGTGTTGCGGGTGGTTGCCAGGGTGTTTTGCGGTTGTTAGGGTGTTGCGGGTGGTTGCCAGGGTGTTTTGCGGTTGTTAGGGTGTTGCGGGTGGTTGCCAGGGTGTTTTGCGGTTGTTAGGGTGTTGCGGGTGGTTGCCAGGGTGTTTTGCGGTTGTTAGGGTGTTGCGGGTGGTTGCCAGGGTGTTTTGCGGTTGTTAGGGTGTTGCGGGTGGTTGCCAGGGTGTTTTGCGGTTGTTAGGGTGTTGCGGGTGGTTGCCAGGGTGTTTTGCGGTTGTTAGGGTGTTGCGGGTGGTTGCCAGGGTGTTTTGCGGTTGTTAGGGTGTTGCGGGTGGTTGCCAGGGTGTTTTGCGGTTGTTAGGGTGTTGCGGGTGGTTGCCAGGGTGTTTTGCGGTTGTTAGGGTGTTGCGGGTGGTTGCCAGGGTGTTGTGTGGTTGTTAGGGTGTGTGGGTGGTTGCCAAGGTGTTTTGTGGGCAATAGGCTATTGTGGGTGGTTGTCAGGGTATTGTGGGTGGTTGCCAGGGTGTTATGGTTGCGAGGGTGTTTTGTGGGTGATACGGAATTGTGGGTGGTTACCAGGGTGTTGTGTGGTTGTTAGGGTGTTGTGGGTGGTTGCCAGGGTTGTTGTGTGGTTGTTATGGTACTTTTGGTGGTTGCCAGGGTGTTGTTTTCTGGTTGTTTGGGTGCTGATATGGGTTGTTAGGGTGTTTTTATGTGGTCGTTAGGGTGTTGTGTGGTTGTTAGGGTGCTGTGGGTGGTTCGTGGTTGCCATGCAAAATTGACGCTGTTCCTTCAGGAAATGCAGATCTAGTTTCCATTCACATAAAGCACAGTCACTTGTCTCATGAATATTCAGCGGTGTGAATGACAGGCTCCTCCAACCGCAGGGTCGTCAGTGTTGGTGTAAATCCTCATATGATCCGTGTGAAGGGCCGCAGGTGTCGGTTCACCTCACTCTGCCAACAAACCCTGGCCGTTGACTTGCTGAACTCAAGATATTAATTAGCTCTTTGCCATTTTTCAGCATGAAATCAAACTTGATCTTATTTACTTGATTATGTTCCAGATCTTAATTCATCAGTGCATGTTACAGAAAACAATTTTGTCTTGATGATAATATCGATATAATCACCTCTGAAACTATCTTTTTTTTTTTCCAACCACCTTCATACAGACACTTTTCACCATCCAATTAATTCACTGTGGATGAAGCTGTTTTTCTTCTACAGTCTTTTTCTCGTTGAATATCTCGTTGCATGCTGAAATGCATGAGTTTTTGAGTTGAACTCTGTTCTTCTCGCATGTAAACAGCAGGAATCAGTCAGAGAAGCTGCAAAACAGATCTTCAGCGCCACCTTCTGCTCATTCATAAAAGATACTTTTGCTTCCACAGGTTGGGCCTTATTTATGAAACACAAGTTTAGTTCTGTGTAAATAGTGTTTATATCATTTATTTCCTTAATTCAGATTTGGGGTTTTATGAATGATTTACACAGAAATTTCATGAATGAGGCCCGTGCTGCGTTTATCAAGTGCGACTTGAATTTTATTTACAGGTTCAGTTCAGGTCTCTATGCATTTATTTATTCTTTAATTTATTCATTCATTCATTCTAGTTCTACTTAAGCACTAAAATCTTTAATCAGCTTGCACTATAAAATAATTTTTCCAGTTGTCACAACTGACTTCTGTGTCTTTTTAGGGTGAATCTCATCAAAACATGTCAAAATAATAAAATATATTTTGAATAAAGAAAATAAAGTCATAATTTTAATGGCAGTACAACATATACTACCATGATTAGTAAATACATTGCGATTTAAATAATAAAGAATATATACTATTTAAATAATTAATTGATGATATTCATTGAACTGCTCTTAATTTATGCTGATTTTTATTAAAATGATTGAATTATGTTAAATTAAGTATCTATATACTTTTATATAAATTTATTTGCAATACAGCAAATACTGCCATGATGAGTAAATACATTGCAATTTAAATAATAAATAATACATACAATACATAATACATACAATTTAAATTTAAAAATACGTTTTTTGGGATTAAGATACAATTTAATGACGATTATACACCTTCGACCTCTTAACTATAAGTATTTATGCTTTGATATTCATTGTATTGCTCTTAAATTATGCTGATGTAAATTTTAAAAATCATTGTATTCCAGTAATTAAAATCATCACTGAGAATAATAAAGAAAGGAAAACTCAAAAGTAAAAATTTTATTTAAATCAACATAAATTTAATGGCAGTGCAACAAATACTACCATGATGAATACATAATAAGTTGTCTATTTATTTTCATATATAAATATAAATTTTTCATCAGCTACCGCAATAAAATGATTTTTTTTTTTTTTTATTATTCCCTTTTCCAGTTGTCACATATGACTGAAAAAGTCATGGAAGTTCTTTGACAATCCTGATTCATGAATTACCCACAGCCTCTCCAGATTTTATTTCCACACACTGAATCTATGGCTGATTTTGGTTGTTCTTCGTTGTGTTTATTCAGAGGATGTCCTGGCGAAGGACGCAGGAGAATGTGCAATATGTCTGGAGGAGTTGGTGCAGGGAGACACCATCGCACGCCTGCCCTGCCTCTGCATCTATCATAAAGGGTACAGCTGCTAACATCGAGTGTGTGTGAGAGTGTGAGAGTGTGAGCGCGTGTGCGAGTGAGCGAGAGTGAGCGAGTGAGTGAGTGAGCGTGAGTGAGCGAGCGTGTGCGAGTGAGTGAGTGAGTGAGTGAGTGTGAGAGTGTGAGCGAGCGTGTGCGAGCGAGCGTGTGCGAGCGAGAGTGAGCGAGTGAGTGAGCGAGCGTGAGTGAGTGTGTGAGTGAGTGTGAGAGTGAGCGAGTGAGCGAGCATGTGAGCGAGTGAGTGAGCGAGCGTGCGTGTGTGAGCGAGTGTGTGTGTGCGAGCGAGTGAGTGAGCGAGTGTGTGTGAGCGAGTGTGTGTGAGCGAGTGAGTGTGACTGTGAGTGTGAGCGAGTGAGCGAGTGAGTGTGAGTGTGAGTGTGAGTGAGCGAGCGAGTGAGTGAGTGTGTGAGCGAGTGAGTGTGAGTGAGTGAGTGAGTGAGTGTGAGTGTGCGTGTGAGAGTGAGTGCGAGTGTGAGTGAGTGAGTGAGTGAGTGTGTGTGTGAGTGAGTGAGTGCGAGTGTGTGAGTGA